TTAAATTTGTGACTAAGTTGAATAGCATTGGTGAAGAATTTTTGAATGGATGTTTAGTTTGTAAGATAGAGAAAATGTAAGTAATGATGCTATTATAGATCGTTTTCAAAATATGAAGTCTCGTCGAGTACAATTGTAAACTGATGATATTTTTTGTGGTAATGTAATTTTTATGTATTGCTCGCTTAGTTATTGTTATTATAATTTTTTTGATATTATCTTTAAAGCAATGGTGCACCCGTTTTCTTAAAATCCTGGATTCGCCTCTGACTGTGGTGCTTATACCTGTGTATGGATTGATGATTGTGAATTTCTTGGCTAAATGGGTGTTACTTCTGTGGAAAAATAAGACGTTTATGCTTGTGCAAGGGATGTTGTCTTGTGCTTTCCCGTTTTCTTTAGAAATAGTTCTCACTTCTGTGAGGATCAGCATTTGAGATATAATGGAAGACATAATTGACATATGGGAATATGCAAAGTATATCCCTTTGCAGTGTGGAATATAATTTGATGCTACAATTCTATACTAATGGAGATGTTACCTCTTCTATATATAAAAAATAATAATAACCATATGTGAATGATTTTGTATGAGCATTGTTACTGCGTGTTATGCATTTTTAGCACTTGTCTAGAATTAAGTTATTATGAAGAGTGAGTTTCTACAGATGTAGAGAAACAATTTAATATGAGCAGGAATGTGTTTCGAGGAAATTGCCCCGAGCAGTACAGAGAACTCCGCTATTTGTTACATTGATGTTGAAATTCTCATAAAGGTTAAATTACACTTGGTCCGGACATCTACTAACATTTATTAAATTATAGATATAGCACGAGTAGAGAATACTAGATTAAATAAAAGTGTCATTGTGCACCCAAAGAAAAAGAAGACGAAAGCAAACTAGGAAGCATATTACAAGTTATTAAGAATCTATTCACAGGCCAATTTTGTACCAAAACTGGTCAGGCAAATTGCAAACGCTTGGAAAGCAGACAACGGTTTCCTGTAGTCCATTGTAAAAACATCATCTCCTACTTTCCCAAACTGGAGGATAACTGTATCTTCGTCGCCTTTTCCATCAGGTTGGCTTTGGTCCATCGTTGCAACTAGCTGAAAGTTTTTCACAGATGCAACGGTGACCCTTCCGTGGAAATTTAAACACCAACATTGCAAATGCTCATGCCATCGTGGAGCTTTGTTTTTCAGAACTGTAGAGTTGGCTTCTGCGGAACCAGGTTGCTTCTTCTTCGGAGCATCCTGAGATTTGTCAATAACAGCTTCTCCAGGACAGGGGCACTTGAGTGAGCATATCATCCTCCTTGGTCCTCTAGACTTCAACAGGTTTAACTTGTAAGAAACATTTCCCACTTCAAAATTACCAGCTGGTAATTGGGGACTAATTTGCTTACTTGCAAAACGTCGACAAGACCGGCTGCTTGATGGCCTTGCCCCATTGTGTGGGGGTTGACTATCATATATGGTAAAATTGGTTCCAAGAAAGTCCGATCTGTCAGTTGGATTCAATAGGAAGGTTAGAAAATGAAGGAACAAACAAGAATGAAAATAAGAACACATCTTTTCTTCTCCCCTTACTTGGAAGAATACTTATCTATCATAATGACAGGGAAACACAGGTATTAGGGTGGGATATTGCAAGTTAAAAAGGAAAATTAAGCTTTGGCCAAGAGATAGGCGACATTACATGCTTTTTACTGTGTTGTTGTTTCTAGTGATGTATTTAAATGTTTGTTTCTCCAGCTAATGACATTGAACGCAAGACTCAAACGGAATATCTGGTTAGGAAAGGAGAGTAAAAAAGACAACAAAAAAGTCCAAGTAAAGCATTCAATTTTCTAACTTCCTCTCAAGGCTAGAAACCTTAACAACAAAGAAACAACATTGATGGGACTATCTTTAAGAACCTTCTATGGGCCACTAAATGAAAAGGGTACCAGCACACTTTTGTTAAGGGGGGTGATACAGCTGTGTACTTCCAGCTGCAAGCATCATCATTTTTTGTACCGACGATTGAACAGATTCCTTAATGGCAAGCCATAATAGGAAAGTGTAGATTTCCTTCCTTAGTACAGTTCCAAATAAGAAGAGTAGATTTCCTTCCTAATTAATGTGTCATATTTCAACTGAAGTAATTGTTTGATGAAAAACTAACTGGCAGAGGAACATTAACATTGAAGTTAACCTTGTCTGCATGATCAGAAGTGTACAATTGCACGTTAATTCATTGTATCAAGATTAGTGTTCTCAGTTACATGGCAGCAAAGATGGGTAAACGTCTAGATACCAAACAATTTTATGTTCCGAGACGTGGATATCTTGACGTAATATTTGGAAATAAAGAGAGGAAGAAATAGCACCATGCAGGATTCTTCTTTCTAAAAATTTTATGTTCCGAGAATTCTGTCAGTGGTATTATCAGCAGTTGCCAGCCTAAAAACAATTCAGTTGCTCGGGACGCAAAAGTAACAAGATCTGCGAAATTAGGTAGACTATCTATCACATAAATTATAGCTTAAGAATATAGCCAGAATTTTTATCCCTAAAGAGTTGAATTTCACCATGCCAGGATTCTTCTTTCTTGCAAAATATTAATAGAGACATTGCATGAGGGACATCAAAAAGGTATGCAAATAAAAAAATCTAAGGTATAACCAGCAAGACTATTTGGAATGCCTCACAAATATTCTCGTCCCACCTCAACACCACTACTTAGTCTTGATGCACCCTCTTCTCTTAGCATTCTAGATCACTAAGCAGCCTGCTCAAGCCACTCTGCTTTGTAGCAACATATCAAACCAGTTGACCTTTTAGACAAAAAATGCCTCACAATTTGCCTTCTAATGTGTGACACCGAATATCTCCCAACAAAACAAGTTTTGTATCTGATACACCTAGAAGGAAGACACATTTGACACTATACTAGTGACTCTTATTGCACATCTAGATTTTAATTTTTCATCAGATATCATATGTATTGGTAAGGTTTGGTATTCCTCTATTCTTCTCATTCTTTTGTGAAACACGATCTGGAAGAGAACCTTTTGAACTTCTACAGGATCAACCAAACATGCAGCAAGAAGAAGCAACGTAAGGTTGAAACACCTTGTGTACATAATAAGTATGTACATGCTACTTTATACAACAACAAATATGTATTATATATCCACGGAATCTTTTCTTCGAACTTAGGTTATGTCAATCTCAAAGAAGAAATATAATTATTAATTAGTATAATTTTCACCTGCACTCTACCGAGTTCTAGCCATGTCATTCTATATTTTTCTATAAACATCATTTTTCCTAAATTCAACATCGGCATCTAGTCGTCAAGCTACATATATGAAACTAGACATGTTAGTGAGAATTATGATATTTCTGATTATTAGGACTTTAAAGATACCGCCTAGCTTTAGCCCTTCAGACTCTTTTTGCCTGACAACTTTGAACACATATAACAGCAAAGAAATGGCCTTCATCAGTACTAATTTTAAGGGGTCAACTAATATTTACCTTAACTTC